TTGGCTGGAAATCACGGAGCTGCGATTGAAACTTCGTTTCGAGTTTAGCCGCGTTAGGTTGAATATTATCGCGAAGATCCTGTTTCAATGCCACTTGATCGCACTTCAACTTATTCGTCATGCCGACAAAGCGTTCTTCAAATTCTGTATGGGTATGCAGGCTAGCGGCACGTATCGCACTATCAAGCTTTTGGTGAAGTCGATCTTCAATGCTGTCAGCATATGTTTTCGCCAGTTTAGCAGCTTATCCCTGTAATTTTTGCTCTTGTTTCATCAAGTTGTCTTGCTGGGCGAACTGATGTTTTTACTCTCACTCACTCTCTCTTTCTCTCTCTCTACTGCCGCCTTCAGCTTGGCATTAAGTCGCTGCTCAATCCACTCCGTTTGTAAGTCCGTAGTGGCTTCAAATACGTCTTGAGAAGCTTTAAGTGCTGTATCTAGGCGCCGTTTACATTCAGAAGCGAGTGTTTGTTTGTGTTCATTTATCGCACCCTTCATAGTCGTCAAAGTGGAATTGATTTTTTGGCCCAACTCTTTTGCAAACATCTGAAGTGATGCCTTCATAGAGTGTCGACGCGGTCATGAATATCTTGGACACCATCAATAAGACGTTTATTTATTTCCGCTGCTTGGCTATCGATATGAAACTTGTTCATCGCTTCCAAGTGGACTTGGAAATCTTCAAAGTACTCATACGAGACGCCGTACGGGTTTACGATATTGCCATTGGGCCCACGGGAGCACTCGGTTATTTTCCAGCTCGTAGTTCGCGTGCAGACGGAAGTAGACTGCTGCCTCATGCTAGACTGGACTTCCCTAGGTAGTCAAGCTTGCCGCGACGCTTATACTATGATTCCACTGAGCATAGGCTCTGCATCCAAAGCAACACTCCACTCGAGTGCAGTCAACAACGTGAGGTCTGACGAAACTATAGTGGAGACTACTCGCAAACGCTTCCACGAAGAAGTGGCCAGAATCTTGGCATCTTCCTTGTGCAGATCAGATGCAAAGCCGCGCGCCCTATTACTTGAAACACAACGAATTGTCAATAACAATTAAACGTTTTGTTTCGGTGAATATCATGAGTCGAACATTATTCCAGACATGTGTACGAAGGCGGAATTTCAAGCGACCTTGAACTCGCTATTGGTGGTTCACTCATAGCCGACTTATTTGATGCTAAAAAACATGAAGTGATTGATTACCTGCGTGACAATTGTCCCGTACCCGGGAATACGAGTGGTGTTCCAGACGGCCGTTCACTGGGATCAGCTCCTGGCCCTGCTGAGGCAAGCGCTACCACTGCGCCCGCTCGTGCCTACCATGACTAGGGCAGCCTTGCCCTGCGGCCGGTAGCGTCACAGACGACTTGAGGAACGCAAGGTCCCTCTGAAGAGGTGGACTCTCTCAACCTAGAGTCGTCGGGACGGGAGGCACGGCGCTGCCTGGCACCTGCGTATGGCGACAAGACGAAGAGGTGTCACCAAGATGAAAATCGGAGTATATTCAGTAGTCAAATAGTGTCCTACAGCGTGCAAATCTAGTAGGAAGGAACGCGCGGTGGCGTGCTCCCCTCACTCGTACTTTTTCCCTACCTTTCAATAAAGTTTGATTTTTCTCCTCAATGGCTCCTGATGTTACCGTTAAGAACATCGTCATGCAACGGATGTCGATAGAGCATCTCCACTGGTTCGCCTGACGCCTATATCATTTCGTAATGGCAAAACAATTTCGTTAACACGACTAACACGACGTAGTTTTCACAGTTAGGCAATACCCATGGTTTTGATGCACTAAGCAGCACGAAAACATCCAGGAAACTACAAGCTTGTCAACTTTTCAGCGTATATTAGTCAATTGTGTGCTTTCAAACATATTGATATGAAGCGATCAGCACCCACACATCAACAATTCAAAGGATGTGAATATATGTGAAAAATATAAAGACCTACCAAAAGAAACTGTTGCCCTACTTTGTTGTGTCACTTTCTTGTCGAAGTCCTGTTGCTCTCACTAAAACGCAATTGTGAAGGCGGTGAAGCGCTTCAGCACGTTCTTTTTCCAGCAAAGATTTACCTGGAGCTGGCGATTTACTTAGGTGTACTTTGTCTTTTCTTGGCCTCGCTTCGTCGAGCGCTCTTCTTTGCCTTCTGCGCGACCGCATACGCTTGAACCCATTGAACGCGACGGCCTGTATCAGACACGTTTAAAAAATCGTAATCCTGGACCATACACGATAAAGATTTTTCACTTGATTTTTGTATGTGTATATACAATTTTTACGTCAAATAGGGTACGGGGTGCCTGCATGTCTCACATGATCTGTTACGCATCTATCCATTTTCTAAAATTATAATTAGAAAGTTTTAGTGTTGTGTATGCCACACTCGATAAAATCCTACGGGTCAATGCTCCAGCACCACTCCTTTGACTCATTCCAGAATTCGCCTGTTTTGATACACCTGTCGGATTTTCGTGCCCGTTGGACCGAGCTAAAAAGGGAGGGGGGGGTGGACGTCAAAAAGGGCAGTAGGCCTGTCCGACCATCTGACGTATTTGAAGCCGAGAAAGACAAGGAAGGACACCCGAGGCGTCGATTTTTCCGTGGGGGAAGAAGAGTTAATGCACTATTTGGACCGTCTCGATATTGGTGAGCAGGTATAGCTTGATTTCAGAATATTAAGCAATTTTAACATGACCGGGACATTCAGCGACAGCTCCAAAAGCCAAGCAGGCAGCGATGACTTTGCCTGAAGCTCCGGGGCCCGATCGGAACCTACCCAAGAACATCGCGAGTTCGAAGGTATGTGTATATCTTACGTTGTCTGACACAGGATAGACGTTGCTGAATCTTGTATTGTTCAACTTACCGCTGTAACAGTCGTGGCAACGCAGCGCGAGAAAACCACATCCGAAGACGAGAAGAAACTGGTGACAGAACAGAAGGTATCGTACAGTTGTGGAAATGTGGAAATGTGGCAATGTGCGTGCAAGCCTGACCTCTATGATGTGTTACTACTCGTGTAGATGCCAATATTGACTGTGTACACAGTCCTAGTCACCCATCGTCAACTTCGCAGTACAACGTGAGTCCGTAGCGATGGATGACGTGAGAGAGTCCGGAGACATGGTGGGCGATCGTGAGTCGGACCCAATGGTGGGCGAGCGCAACTCGGAAGGGAAGTTGGGCCAGCACGATTCCGGCGAGGTGGGCGGTTGGTGTGGGCTTGACAGCACGGAAGACAGCACACGGAATCTGGACGAGCAATTTCGTTCCGTGCTCGACACTTCTAACGCAGCGGAACCTCGCCGGTCGTCAGCAAACGCTGAAATTTCGTCAGGTTTGTTATCCTGTATAGGCAGGATTGTAATACAGGCTATTTTTGAAACGTGTATATTATTGAAATTATAGATTTCAACCTGGTGCAAGACTCGGGTGACGATGGAGAGTACAAGGCAATGTAGTCAGCTTGTGAAAACGGTGATGGTGCTTCATGTGGCGACGAGAGTGAGTCAGAGGGAGAGACAGGTGACATTACCGAAGAAGTCCACGTCGAAGATGAAGAAGAAGCTGATGATCCTCTGTTCGACTCATCTTTGATCTACGCTGTTGGG